CTGTTAGTGAATCCGTGTTGACGTTCCTGTATAGATGTAGTTCTTGCAGTACTTATAATAGTGCTAGAGTTTGAGTTGCAGTGAAACGCATGTATACACTGCAGACGTCTTGAGACCAAAGCAGCAGCTAGGAAAAGCTCGATTGCACCTAAATCCCCCAGCTACTTCGCTTTCCAAAACCCTAAACCCTAAACCCCAACTTCCAGCTCAACCCCTGTCACAGTAGAGGCCATGGGTGTGGTGGCCCAGACCCAAAGTTTAACGCAACACCTAAATGGAGGCTTAAGCCTGCTAAAAGCCTATATATAGTAGAATGTAGGGTTTCTATATCAGGAATACATATTATTGGTATTATTGTTTAGGGTTTAGGGCTTAGGATGTGTATGTAGTTCAAGTCTTCGGGTTTTGGGTTGTGGATTTGGGGTCTTGGGTTTAGGGTTTAGGGTTCTACCCCTCCCACTAAACCCTGGGTTCTATCAGGGCCTGCTGCAAGGGTTTAGGGTTTAGGGTTTAGGGTTTAGGTAAGGGGTGGTTTAGGGAAGGCCAAGGGCAGGTTGTGCAGGGTTTGGATGGGTATTTCAGGACGGTGCAAGAGCTCTGGACAGCCTTCAACCCTAAACACGCTAACCCTAAGCCCTAAGCCCTAAACCCCTAAACCCGAAGCCCTAAACCCCTAAGCCCTAAACCCTAAACACGAAGCCCCCAAACCCCTAAGCCCTAAACACGAAGCCCCTAGAATTTGACGGTGAGCTCGGTAATTCGAAAGTTTCAGCCCAGCCCCTGAAATGGAGGTGTCACAAATTTCCATGCAATACCTAAATTTAGGCTCAAGTTGTGCATGTAGTTTAGGGGTTTAGGGGTTCAGGGTTTAGGGGTTTGGGGCCTGTTTAGGGTTGAGGGTTCAAGTCCAGTCTAGCGAACCTTGAGCCTGTAAAATCCCGCAACTCCTCGGGTTCAGGGTTTAGGGTTTAGGACCCTAAAGCCTCAACCCTAAACCCTAAACCCTCAACACCTCAACTCAGACCGAGCGTTCGGAGTGAGGTGCCTCCATCCCCCTTACTACTGTGCGAAGCTCGGATGCCTTCGCTTGCAGGGATACCCGAAACCCTGAATCCTAAACTCTAAACCCTAAACCCTATAAACCCTAACCCCTGAACCCCTAAACCCTAAACCCTAAACCTTAAACCCGAACCCCTGAACCCCTAAACCCTGAACTCTAAACCCCATCACAGGACGCACGGCTAACTAAGGACCTGAAGACCGCAAAGCTCAAGCCCGATATCTGCAATTTGAAAGCCTAGGCCGTACACCCGAACTCTTGGTCCTACAGGCTAAACCCTGATTTAGGGTTTAGGGTTTAGGTGTTATAGTGTTTTAGGGTTTTAGGGTTTAGGTGTTTTAGTGTTTTAGGGTTTTAGGGTTTAGGGTTTCCTAAACCTGAGCTCTCTAAGCCGGGCGGCAACAGCAACAAGCAAAAAGTTGCTGAAGTCTTAAGTCCGAAACCCGTAGACTTTACACCCAGGAATTGCAGAGTGCCATCAAATCAACATCACAAGCGTGCGTTTCAACTTCGGGTTCAGGGCTTAGGGTTTCGGGTTTGAGGGGCTTAGGGTCAAGGGTTTAGGGGTTTAGAGGGCTTAGGCTTTTCAGACTTGCGGTTTCGGGCAAGCCCTGATATCCCATAAGCTCTAAATCCGATACTGCTATACTATTTGGGCCTTCATGGTTAGAATTGGGTTTTGGGGTATCTTGTACTACAATTTTATCAAGGAGCCCCCAAGATAGTATTGGTAATTGTTTAGGCCCCTACATTATCCTCAATCTCTCTCCGACTGGAACCCCAAGCCCAAACCCTGAAGAATGCTCGGGCTGTGGCATGGCCTTTCGGACGGCACCATCGCTCACTGGAGCTGTTAGATGGGCGGTTGTCAAAATTATGGTCCCTTGTTGGGTCTTTATTATAATATGGCACCTATTATTTAGGGTACCCCAAAAGGGACCATAATTTTGACAACTACCCAGATAAATCTTGCACTGCACTAAGTACCTAATGTACGGGGATGACGGAACATTCCCTGTGTTCGACCACTCATATATTCCGCAATGCATGGTCTTGTCACTGTCGATCAGCAGAAGGAGCTACATGGAGCTACAGGGTCTCCAACAGGATTCGGGTCGGCGTTGCTTGCGCTGTGTATACTAGCTATGGTTAGCAGCAGGGTGATGTAAAGTAGCCACAACAACTCCTGCTACTGCCATGACGGAACATCAACCGAATCATCAAGATGTTGGATGAGAAAACTAGGGCAACCAGGGAGGTCATGAAAACATGGAAGCATAGGGTGGTGCTTACTTTGCTGTTAAGTTACACCTCGCAGGCACGGCAGTACAGGCCGAGAATGTGTCGTTGTGTTGCAATTGACGCGCTGTTCGAAGTTCAGGCTTTAGGGTTGAGGGTTCAGGGTTTACGGTGTATGGGAATCGGATGCAATTTGGCTCGCGAGGCAAGGCTGCTCTAGCGATCGTAACGAGTAGACTATGGTTCACAACAGGGTCCTGTAGACTTGCAGGGCTCTAATGGGTTTCTTACAGGGTTGACTGGATGTCAGAGAGCATGTGTGTTTTACAGTTTTACAGTTTTTCATAGGAGTCGATTAGGGCTTATAGATGCTCATAGGGCTTTCAGAGCTGAGGCACAAGAATGGAAATCACAACCGCCTTGATTTGGACTCTCCGAATTGCCGGGCGCCCGGTCGTTAGAATTGCAACTAAGGTGCCGTTCCGGCTTTAGGGCTTAAGCCCCAAGCCTTAAACACTTGAGCCCTAAAAGCCCTTAGGGTAGCCCAACCTTGCACCATTCCCGACGGGCTGGTGTAGAGAATCCAGCTTCTTATATAAGTAGACATCTGGGGATATTTACCCTAAACCCCAAAGCTTGACCAGAGCAGCATTTCCGCAACATAGAACCTAAACTGGGCCTGAACTTCTGAGTACCCATCTAGGTTTGGGGTTTAGGGCTTGGGGCCAAAATTCCTAGGCGTTCACCATTAAAGGGTTTCGAGTTTAGGAGGTGCCCTGGCATTGGGATCTAGGGGTTTAGGCCT